AAGGTCGAGTAAGGGTGACTATCGCAGCGAAAATTTTCAAGGATCATTTTACACGAATCGTGCGCCAAAACTGAATCAGGTAAATATTTTCTATCAGTATGTTTGCAAAAGTAAATGACGAATTTATTGTATCGTGCAAAAGAATGCAACTGAAAAATTCATGGAAAGTCTGCGTCAACTACCTATTGCCGAAGAGTGTGCCACGAATCAGTTTTCGAAACCAACGATAAAGTCCCAGGTAAGAATCTTGATTTTAACATGAAATTGATTGTCGGATAACACGGCGGTGACTAGGTCAAATTTGACTCAATAATACATTTATTTTTCTACGTACGTGTATCTTTTATATTAGATTTTTCTTTCACTGAATGTATTTCTTCTTGAGTTATTCTAGCGGGAAATTGTTCTAGACTGTTGTTAATGAAATTTCTTCAAACATAGTCGATTATTATACACTTTACTGATATAACATCATTTCTCCCTACACTGAGATGACCTTCGTCATCGCCGGGAGTTAAACGAATTTCGATCGAAGATCTTCACCCATCGTGTCCGATATTCAAAATACGAAAACGAGTTTCGCGTGAATTGGTCTGATATAAACGGAATGGCGCGTCTCGTCGACTTGTAACCGTGTCGATGGCGACCATAGGATGAGGAGGAGGATAGGGATGAGAAGCTGACGAGGCGGCGCTAAAACATTTCAAGTGCATTGATAGAGTTTCACGTGATTTTTCACACTTCAAAAGACAAAGACAGACGATTATTTTCACACTAATCACAATATAATTAGACGGTGCTAAAATATCGAAAATTTCAAGTAACAATTAACAAACAACCGGCTGATATTACAGAATTATTTTTTTTTTTTTTTTTTTTTTTTTTAAGACGAAAGAAGAATGTCGATCTTTCAGAGTTTTGTTACGCGACAGAGGTTGGTTGAGGAGCAGGTGCAACTCTTAAGAAAGAAGGGGAAATATCGGGGGGGTTGCTTTTGCCTCAAATGGTTGCTCGATTCGCGACATTCGGATCACGTGCATGCGTCGCGCGCCTCTTTTTGCGACGTCCCTGTCCCCTGGAAAATACACGACGAGAGACGATGGACAGGGCTTTGAACACGTTAAACTTGCCAAATAAAAACCATTCGCTGGCTCAAAAACCGTTACTGTCGAACGTTAAATTACAATTATTTATTACACGACGAAAGCGTTAACCTTTTAACAGTGTAGTCTAAAAAAAAAAAAAA